GACAATCAGGTGTAAATGAAATATATAATTGAGTATCCACCCCTCTATAGCTGCAATATGAAAATACCGTTCTTCTCCATATCACTTCATTGTGGAAGCGGACGTTAAGTAATATTATTTCAGACAGGGATGTATCATCTAGAATTTTTAAAATCTGTAAACGTAACCGGTTGGGGATCGCTGATCTATCCTAAGTTACGAGGGAATAAAGCCTTAATGGAGTTTGCCCCAAGTGTCGCTGTCAATTGCAGGCCAATTAGGGGGGGGGGGGGGTGGCAAGTACCCATTCCAGCCTGTTTAACTGACACGCCCGTTTTTCTCAGAAAAAACATTAACAGTGAATGCTGAATGGCACTTTGGTCGTCTTTCCATTAAAATTTGGTCTGTATTCCCCAAAATTCTCTTGATAATTACTTAATAAATTAATCGCAACGCGCACCTGCTATGACGTCACATACGTCTGATCGGACGCCTGTCTGCTGACCGTTCCTACCCGTCCCTAGCAATATATACCATTCTTCCCCGTCTGTGTTCTAAGGCTATTTTGGAATCCTTATCAACTGTTTTTCCCCGTGATTCTTCTTTGTTCGCCAAAAGGAATCACTTGTCGCCACATCTGACACAAATTTACAATAATTCACCACTATTTTCAATCTAGTAGTTTTTAATCGCATAATTCTACATGAAAATAGAGTTGAATTATTATGAATTTGTGTCAGATATGACGAGAAATGGTTCCTTTTGGCGAAAAATAAAGAATCACAAGAAATATAGAAGGTAAGGATTCCAAAATAGTCTTATATTAGAACATAGGTGGGGAAGGGCGGTATTTTCAAATTGCAGTCAGTGGACAGGCGTCCGATCAGAGACCCATAGGCGTACGTACGGGCTCGATGACAGTTAGGGGGCAGAACCCGAAATGCCCGAAAAAATTTCGGGTGTACAGACAGCGGCGTCGATCTTCCTCGAGAGGCGAAGAAGCAGAGCTCCCCTTGTATTGTACCCCCCGTCCCCCCCCCAACAAAAATTTTAAATATTTGACGGCTGGAAACATAATTTCCTGCTATTTCAGCCCGTGAACAAAGCAACTTCAAAGTGGTCTAATATAGCCTAATTACACTGTTAGAAATAAATGTTAATTTACCGTAAGAATATGGTAAAATATTTACGTAGTTGTATGTTATTTTACACATGTATGTTTTATTAAACCAAATTAGGAGTGATAGTACAAATAGTCGTAAAAACCAAATATTATACAGGTGATTTTACCCTGAAATAATTCATTTTACAAACGTAACGTCAAAATACAGTAATTTACATTGTATTCCTATTATAGTAAGATGTACCGTAGCCCAAATGTGTTGTCGTAAAAAGTTGATATCACAGAAATATTTTATTCAATAGTAATGAAATCAAAAATTGAAATATTTTTGTTAGCATTTCTCAGCACACAACCAATTAACAGTAATCATTGAAGTCCACAACCAAATAGCAAATGATGTTACGATAACTATCATGTACACTGTCAGACATTTATGTAAAATTACAGTAGTACAAGTGGTTTTTGTACCTCAATAGTCGGTATATTTTACAACATATACTACTTTTACCAAGTCTGGTGTATTTTTACCGAATTTCGTGTATGTTTATCGAGTTTCATGTCGTTTTGACAAAAAACGGCGATGAAATCAAAGACATAATCAAAGTCGGGTAAAAAATACATTCTTACATATTATGTAATAAAATTGAACTGAAAGTAACGAAGCAAGCGTTAACTTTACAGATTTACGTTTATTCACATTATTATGTAATTTACTTTTAGGTAAGAAATATGAGTAAAAGTACAGCAGTTAAAGTATTTGTTTTTACCTTAAAATGTTAAGAATATTTACCAATATTCAAAGGGCACATTCAAAATTCGGTAAAAATAATGTTTATTATGTAATATTTCAATATTGAACGTAAAATAACATAGCCAGCATGTAATTTTACAGATTTACGTTTATTCACGTTATTTTGTAAATTTACTTATTGGTAGTTATCGTAATCGGTAAATTTACTATCTCTTATTTTATTGTATTATTCCATAGCAACGAAACATTCCTAATAATTATCTTCTTATAGTATTCATTTAAATCTGTTAACCATAATATGGACAATCACATTTTGTAAATTTTGGTATATTGCATCTCATGTATATCTAATTTCCGTAATTTATACGATCTATAAATTGTATTGTTATTTATTGTACGTTAATCAGTTTGTAAGTTTTTTCTTAAATGTATAACAACAATGTTTTGACTTTCAACTCGTTATCAAGTTAGCTTGAAGACGGTTAATTAAACCGATTGGCCAGTGTTAAAATGCCTGCAAATAGATAGTACCGCAAGCTTACATCTGGAAGCCTGGAACCATGCTCTCGTCTACCAAACAGGATTATTGATATTCAATATATAATAGAGTAATGTTAATACAAAATTTTACACCGGGGCTACTGCTTGCTAACTCTCAGCAAACGTTGCAAGAATCCTGCCTGTAAAATTACCAATATTTAGTATTTTTGACAAAAGTGTAAATTAACAGTGTGATGTATTTTTACAAGAAATGTAAATTAACATAGTGATGTATTTTTACAAGAAATGTAAATTAACATTGTGATGTATTTTTAAAAGAAATGTAAATTAACATATATGTCCTTTTACAGTAAAATGTTAAATAACCAATGGTGTAATTTTACCTATGATTTAGGGGCAACTTTTGCTGCCCGTAATTTTAGGGTAAAATAACCAAAATATTTTTAACAGTGTAAGATGGCTGACTCGAATTCCAATCAAAAGATCAATCGTTTACAGTCCACGGAGACGGGGCCGTTTGGAGAAAATTTAACAGCCGCATACGCGTTTTCATGCTATTCCAGTCTGTGAATACAGCAACTTCAATTTGGTCCAATATAGCCTACCTGGCTGACCCGAATTCCAAACATCGCGGGGTATGTGGGGCCTCACCCTCCCGGAGAAAATTTTGAAAATCTAACCACCGCAAATGCGTTTTCTGCTATTTTAGCCCGTGTAAGCAGCTCCAAAAGGATCCAATGGTTTTGTAACCGAAACGGGCCCGTATCTACAGCCCCCCACCCCCCCGCTCAGAAATTGCTAACAATCATTAAAGAATACACAGTTCCTTATATTAACCTAAAAAAACTACGCTTCCCTGAGCAGGAGGAGGTATAATTCAGGCGACTATGCGCATATTAATCCCACAGTATCTCATTACTTATAAACCATTTTTTTTGTACTAATCTAAAATAGTTTTAAATAAATTTAAAAAATCACGATTTTTTTTTTGTTTGAATACTTATTTTAAAATGCTTATTAGACGCCTAGGTAACTACATAGCATGATGATTACAACGCTTCCCTAAGCAGGAGGAGGTATAATTCAGGCGACTATGCGCATATTAATCCCACGGTATCTCATTACTTATAAACCATTTTTTTTGTACTAATCTAAAATAGTTTTAAATAAATTTAAAAAATCACGATTTTTTTTTTGTTTGAATACTTATTTTAAAATGCTTATTAGACGCCTAGGTAACTACATAGCATGATGATTACAACAGTCTGTTAGAATGACCTTTCCGAAAATTTCCTCAAAATGTTCGCCCCCCCTACCGAAAGGTAATGCCCCCCCCCCCCCGCTTAATGGTGTCTAGATACGGGCCCGAACCGAAATCCCATTCTGAATTCCAACCATCCAATCAGACCGATGCAGCTGCATTCACAAATAATAATCGATGCTCGAAAAATGTCGCACAAAGTAGAGTGGCTCCAGATAAAATGTTTTAATCCATAGTCAACTTGTGGTATTCAATTAAAAGAAAAGTAAAATTAGTGTTTTATTAGGGCTCAATGACATTAGGGAAGAAAAACTAGAAATGCCCGAAAAAATGTCAGGTTTACAGACAGCGGTGCCGGTTTTCTTCGAGAGGTGAAGAAGCAGAACTGACCTTGTATGGACCCCCGAAGAAAATTTTGGAATATTTGACGGCCGCAAACGCGTTTTACTGCTATTCGGGCTCTTTATTTTTTTTTTCACTTTACCCTTCTGCCCGAAAAGTCGGCTTGCCCGAAAGTTAGGGGGCCAGCTGCCCCCCCCCCCTGACTCGTACGCCTATGCAGAGACCGTTCCTAAAGGAATAGATTAATACGGGAGCCGTCATATTCGCGGGGCAAGATATACTGATGTTACTCTTTCGTGAACACTTGGCAGCATTTATCATTAATAAGCCATGAACTGACCGGATCACAGGGCCGTAACCAGGCCCGTAGCCAGCTTGCTAGCTTCGGAGGAGCAGTGAAGTTTTTAGGGGGGGGGCACACCCGGCACAGTCTACAGTAGGTATTTTAGAGCTATAGTCGGCAAATTATTTTCGGGGAGGGGGGTAAAACATTTTTTCGGGGGGGGGGGGGGCATTGCCCCCCCCTCTGGCTACGGGCCTGCTAGCTCGGAGCAAAGAGGGGGGCGGGAAGTGTCCTCGGGGGGGGGGGGGGGGGCTTTAATATTAACTGGTAATGTATATCTATTTTTTTTATTGTTGAATTTTTTTTCACAGGGCCTGCTGGATCAATGTCAAAATCATTTTATTTTTAGAAAGTTAGCATAATCATTAATTGTCAATAGGGGCGACCCTTATTTCCCAGCTCGTCGAATGGCCCGCCACTTTTTTTTATTTCCAGAAAAAAGTTAATAATCATTATCAAGCTGGCCGGTTCAAGTGTAGATAACATTAGCCAGACTTTCGTATGTAATGCATATCGTCATTGCTGGCGACCAAGTCTGTCAAATCACTGATCTATAGATCAGTGATCAAACCCCAGCCGGCATAGAATAGACTTGTATGTCACGCTTGATAATCATGCGTTAAGAAAAAAATACTGGATAACGGTGATACAATCTGACGTTATTTTCATTGTGCGGAGTAAACATTCTTCTCGGCTTTCATTGGTTAATAATGGTGTAAGATGTAGATGGCAGATGAGCGCGCGACAGTCTCATGGTACGACGGAAATTTCGTCTGCTGCTAGGGCTAGCTAGCCTTTGGTTATTAGGGATAGTTTATTATGTCTACAAAGCTAGTGAAGACCAAGTAAGTGGCATTAGTATTTAAATATTTTCAGTAATCACATAATTGCAACGCATCCATTTAGAAAAATCTCATTTCGTTAAGCACTTCCCAGTAACAATGAATGATAATGATAACGTCGGCGACACAGTGCGAATTAGGCATGTTTATAGATCAAGCTAACCGTCACGGCGCGCGATAGAAAACTAAATGGCATGGAATTATGGCGAGCCAGGGTAACCGAAAAAAACTAGCACTGCTTTTGGCAAAGCCATTAACCAGAAGTAGACTAATATGATTCATCCATTATCCGCTTGTGAAAGTAAACGAAAGGTCCAGTTTAGTACGAGTTATATACAAATCATTTACGTTCTAATCTAACGTTATCATTATGACCACTTCAAGCCGTGAAATATGGGTATACTAATGGGTTTCAGCGAACACTATTAGAGTAAAGTCACTAAAGAACTTATATTTAATTTAGAATCTTTCTCATAAATAATGCAATGGCATAATATTTTAGGAGCCATAGCCCATGTCTTTTCAAACTTTTTTTTTAGATATGGGTATACTGATGTATTTCAGCGAAAACTTAAGAACTTATACTAAGAAGAATATATTTCTCATAAATCATGCAGTGGCATAATATTTTAGGAGCCACGTCTTTTCAAACCTTTTTTTAGGATCAAATATCTCTAATATCAGTATAAATTTACCTCTGTCTACTGAGTACTGTAACAACAGCCCATTGAATGATATGCCAATGGTGACATATTATATGTCAGTATATCATCCATAATCAAATATATTGTTTTCAATGAAATATATAGATTTAATTGTTTTGAGCAGTTTTATTCGGTTGTGAACTGACCAACTTGCTTATCATGTATTACCTACAAATGCTATAGATATTCACATTAATAAATTAAAGATAACAAAGGTAACCGCTGGTAGATTTTGAAGATATGGGTTTGTTTAAGTTATGAACATGACATTGGGTCATAAGGTTATTATTTTACAAAGCACACAGGCCAAGTAATTGTAAATAATCATGAAGTTGTTATATTTAAAGATTCAAAATCATTTTCAATTTGAGACATACTTGCCTGTTAATGTTAAGATTTGTTACAAGTCATGCATGGCATAATCTGTAGTTATATATGTAGATAGGCTGGTGCAAAATACTTTGCTCTACTAAATAGTTAATTCCTTAAACTTGATGTTCAAGTAATCCGATAAAGAATATTTCTTACAGAATTATTCAGGAGATTTTTTTTTTTATGTTGTAATGAAGTAATTTGGTTTTTTTTTTGTGGAAAGGGGATTTATTGATTATATACATTATTATTTATTACTGTTCTCAAAGACAACTACACTTATACATGCAGCAAAAATATTTCTTTGTCCATGCCATTTGTTTGGAAATGACAGTGATCTGGTTTGCAAATAGTTTGCAAACAAAATAAAAGAATGATATTTTCCTAATATCCTTAATTAGTCAAATCAGATCAATTCTGATATGATATTCTGGCCCATTCCTTTTTATAAATTGCTATACTTTTTGTACAAGCCAGTCAATTCTTCATAAAGTTTATTTTATACTTTACTTGGGCTGGCTTGTACAAGTAGACATGAATACATTGGAACCCTACATTTGGTTTATTGCTTTCACTTCTCAACCCAATGGAAGATAATTTATTTATGTTTCATCATGCTGTCTCCAATTTCAAGTATGTTGTTAAATAAATGTGGTTTGAATATCTTTGAGCTATAAGCAGTTCAGTCTTAAAAGGTTTTTTGGTTGAACAACCTGTTACATCAAATCATTACAAATGTACCCTGTAGTCATATTGCTCCATAGTCCTAAATGAACAATGTCATACTATTAAAAGACCAATAATAGGTAATCCGTCACTGGGATGGTCAATGCCCAACTGCCCATGGTCTCTTGTTTTTGGGTTTACTTTTTGAGTGTACATACATGCAGTGCCAGTACATAAATTTGTCTAATTTAAATAAAAATACAGGAAAACTATAGAATTAAAACACTAATTATGGATAACAATTACTATGATTTATTATACACAAATAAATAAACTGTATTGATCAGTGAATGTTTAAATTTTATATACTGTGTGGTATTAAAAAAAAAAAAGCATTTGTTCAATTTAAACTGTAAGCCTTTAAAATTTGAAAGTATATAAGTATTATAATTATAACACTGACATTACACTAAATGCATATCTAGCCAGGGTATCATTTTAGCTGAATAAATTGACACATGTATGACATACTGTACATGTATGTAATATACATGTGTGCAACCAGGGTGATTATTAAATATTATATGTGGGCTTGTGCTGAAAAGTTCTAAACCAGAAAAGGATAGATCAGATGGATAGAAAGAAACTTTTGCCACCAACAAGTACAATCATTGAATGAACCATAGACATACATATAAGAGAGAGAGAGAGAAATGGGGTTTAACATCCACTCGACACAAACTAGGTCATTTTGGGACTAACATATGGTTTAATTTTATTTCAATAATTCACTTGCGCGTAAGGGGTCTTTAGCAGTGGGAGGAAACCGGAGGACCCGGAGAAAACCCACAAGGTTGGAATACATATAAGAACTGTAACTAGCGTTATTGTCTTCGCACCAGACCATCTTGTGAACCTACCCATTGAAATCACCAGAAATGGACAAAACTGGCTATAGGGCAGTCATCAGGTAACTGCAACTGAAAGGATTAATCCCAACACCGATACATGCCAACATGGTCTCCACTTTAGGGGATGATGCCCCTTCCTTTTTCACAGTAAAGAAATGGGCTGCTGAATTTAAGCATGGCAGGGAGAGTCTGGACAATGATCCGCGTCCTGGAAGGCCATCAATGGCAACCATTCAACAAAACATTACCCAGGTGCATGACATATAGATGGTTGATCAACTATCGACCACTCGACATATTGCGAGTGTTGCAGGCATCTCTCATGAGAGGGTTGAGCCAACCAGTTGGGAATAACAAAAGTTTCTGAAAGATGGATGCCAAAGCTCTTGACTGAGGATCAGAAACGTGTCAAGATTCTTGACATCCCGTCACAATTTGCATAGTTTTGAGGCAGATCCTGATAAATTTTGACCAAATTGGTAACCATGGATGAGACCTGTTTCCTAAAATGAAAAAGGAAGTAGCTGGTCTATATTAGTAGTAATAATGACGTGCTGTCGGCTATGAATGACTTTTTTAGGCTTGCTGAAGAAAATTTGTTCCTGGCCGGCTTCCAGTTCCAGGCTTTGCAATATCATTGGCAAAAGTGTGTACACCTCAATGGGGACTATGTAGAAATGGAAACCATTGACTTTGTACAGTTCTTTCACATATACATGTAGGCTTAGAACTTTTCAGCCAGCCCTAGTACTAAAGGTGGATTTAAACAGAATAAACAATGTTATACATTTCTAAAGTCATGCCATATGGCATGGTACAGTATCACTTTCTTGACATAAAATCAAGTTGTACCGTATCTAAGAAGTGTGTTGATTCATGTAATTTAACAAACCCTTCATAAACAAAGGACTTTTATTTTTATGTATAAAGATATATAATACCATACTTCAAACATTTAAGCATGGTTGTAGTCCCAAGGTGACCAGTTTTGTTCTGGCTCTGAAATTGATATAAAAAAAAAAAATCTTGATATTTTAAACATTGATTAAATCAGTAGACTGTGCATCCATTCACTAATTGTGGTTTTTTTGACAGTGTGTTGGCTTTAGACTTCTAGGTGGTCAGTGAGTTTATTTTGAGCATAGACATGTATACAGTATTCAGCAACAGTGCCATGAATTTTTTTTTCTCAAAACTAGACTTTTTTTTATTTGAGTCCAAAAAAGAAAACTGTTGATTTTATTTGACTGTAAGAAGTGGACTTGGCATTTGGATCTTGGCATGATTTTATTTTTATGAGTTCCTTTTCTTTTCAAAAAGATTTTAAAACTATCATATTACAGTCAACTAACTTACATTATCTTGTTGAAATGGGCTATTTTCCAAGTACAATTCACTTTCAAATTTGTGAAATTGAGATTGCCATAATTTCTTCAGAGTAAATTGTTTTTCAATAAATGATGTATTTGTATAGAGCTGTTTGATATATCTCTTAAATAATTAAACTTTTCTCCACAATCAAAGAGTAAAATTGAAATTAAGTTTTCTTAAATTTGAAGTTACTGCTGTTAATTTTGTTGTAGAAGCTGTCCTGCAGCCCCAGAACCTGAATGTGGATCCATGTTTTTATTTTATAATCAAAACCAGAGTAGAGAACCTGTTACATGTAAATGCTGTGGGTAATGCTGATTAAGATTAAATATAAAGTAGTGATAAATCTATGAGTGTTGTAGCTTTTTCGTAACTTAAAATTAATTTCGCTGATTTATATTTAAATCTCTTTTAACATGTCACATTTCTGTGTTAGTCTTTGTACTTGAGTCTTCAGAGGCATACAACCAAGGCGTTTGCCCCGGTCCCCACCATATGGTGCCTCTCTCTGTACATCACTGGTTGTATAGTCAAAGTTACCATATTATGAGTTATTTCCAAACTGACCAGGTATTCATGAAATTGCATTTATTATATAAAGTCAGCATTGAGATACCACAGATTCGGGATTGTGTGTTACACTTTTGACACTGTAAGCTAAAGAGAAAACTAAATTAATAAACACTGCTATTAGTATTACTCCTGTATAATCTTTCAAAATAAAAATTCAATCACATTGACATAGAGCTTGCTCCATCACTAATGGAAATATTAGATTTATCCAATCCAATACCCTATTTCTAAATCAAACATGTTCATTATAGCTCAGGAACTTTAAATATGTACTCTTTACCTATTTAAATAGGTTACAAAAAGTTATGCGTCCTTTCTTTGGTGAACTTTATTAAAAGCAAAGTCACTAAAAGAGTGGATCGAATCTCCATAGGAAAGAATGACTACAGAACTTGGGTGGAGATAC